CGTTTCAATCTACTTCTACATTTACGTTATTTGATCGGTGTATCGATGGTACTCTTTCTCGTTTGAAATACACGTTTTCTGTTGGTGCGCGGTGAACAACCCCGTGGATTTCGCTAATTTCTCGTATCTCTACAATTTCACTTGTAATTTGAGCAAATTTTTTAGAACCGTTTAAATTTCAGAAATTTATTCAAATATTATAATTTAATATTACGTTGAACGAGTTTAACGATACCGTGAATGTATATTAAACTTACGTTTTTCATTAAAATAAGATAAGTATTTATTTTGAAATAATAATACAAAATAGTTCTATAAATTCTTGATTTCTTCAAAAATTTATATTCAATATAAAATTAATCCAACTGTTCTGTTAAAAGGAAGGAAGAAGCTTGGTAAGAAATAATAACGTAAAATATTATTCTATAATTCTTGATTACACTTTCGTCAAAAGTAGGGAGAAAATTTATTACTCGATCTAATACCTTCACGAATAAATGTACACCTATATCCGTTAAGAATGAAGAAGAAAAAGTTCGCTCTCTACGAAGCAAGAAATAACGGGATACAGACGGAGGAAGCTAACAATGATATAATACCGTTACGAAGGAAGGGGTACAGGGGTGAGATTAGCGAGAAGGTTGAGAAAAGAAGCGGCCGTTTAAGTGGCGACAACGGATACGGAGAATGGAAAACACGGTCTCCGTTTAATGCTGTTATCATGGTGGACAACGAAAGGAAATATGGCGGCTATTATTCGCTGAATACTTTTACCTTGCCGCGTATTTCTCCGTTCCTTCTCTTCAGGATGCACTTGGCATAGAGGGAACATCCTTCCACCATTGCTTTTTACTCGTAGGAGAATTGTCGAGCATTTTAAGAGCGTAAATTATAGAAATCGAGAAGTTTGGTAAAAAGTAATATTTATTTTTCCTCGTATTAGAAATGGATGCTTCTTGCATATATAAATGCACGTTTTATAAGGCTTAGACAGATGCTTATAATTACGTATAACGCAATAAGAAATATATCTCAATAAAAATCACGTGGACAGTTCCAGTTCTATTAATGATAACATTTCAAGATACGGAGAAACCAAAAATTATGATGATAATAATATTATTAATAAAATATATTAAAATATGTACACGAATTATAATTTGGACTTAAACGTAATAAGCTTATGTTTAAAGTTACCAAGTAACTTATGGAGTGTATATCGTCGGACCTGACTGTTATCGATGGCCAGGGTTTGGGATTCCTCCGTCCAGAAATTAGGACTGTAATACGATAAATTTTCACGAGCGAGCAGAACCGACGGTTGAAAAAGCGTAACCTCGTTTGTCCACCGGAAGTTTCGCCGGACGAGAGAAACGAGTGATAAATTCGGTAATTGAAGAAGGTTACTTACCCCGCCACTCGTTCACCCCCTGTTTCACGTGGATGAGAGAAGGTGAACGAGCGTCGAAGAAAGAAGATGGAAATGATTTGTCACGTTGATGAAAATATTCGGAGATGCGTATATCGATGAATGGATGATGTGGAGTTTTAATTGAAAACATAGCCATTGTGAATTTTTTTTTTTTAACTTATTAATTTATGGTTTATTTGTGAAAAATTTTCAGAATAATTTTTGTATTCTTTTTTTTAGTAAGTGTAAATCATAATTTGTTCAATTTTTTTTTTTTAAATTTTACGTCTCGAGTTTGATAAATGTAAATTGTAATTTATCTGACTTTTAAAAAAATTTTGATATCCTTTGTTTAACAGATATAATTTATGATTTACTTAACTTTGGAGAAAATATTTTTTCATATATTTTATGCATTTTTTAACAGGTAAATTTATTTTTTACAATTTGGATTCTTACAATTCTTAAGTAAAATATCGTTCTTCTCTACAAATGTTCGAAAAATATTGTAATATGTTTATATTAAAAAAAATCAAGTGTTAAGAAGAGGCAGGAAATTATGAAACTTAATAATGCAATCCAATTACCCTCTCTGTAATAATTCCGATATATGAGAACTAACATGTTAGAGAAAATTTATTTATACATATACTTAGAAATTTATATTGCAAAGTTTAATGTCTCATTTATAACATAAAAATGATTCAAAGTAATTAACAATTATCGTTATAATTATGTGAACGTAGTTATATCGATGGGCCATTAATTATTTATCATCAATCTAAGAACTTCCTCGTTATAATTAGATTTTGCGTTTTTTTTAATTAAAAAAAAAAGAGGGGGAAGCAAATAAATAATATAAAATCCTTTGCCTTATCGATTTTTGTATCTAAATTACAACATGCAGAATTTTATATAAAACTTTTGAAGCTCAATTTCGTTTTTCTTTTATATTAATCTACGCGGATCACCTTGTTACCCCTTGTTTTATTTTTTCATTCAACTAATTTGTTATTTTGACAGTTAAAAATTAAAACTTTTTAGCTCCAATTTTTCAACTTCATTAGTGTTTTCATTCCAATTTTTTGCAAAATATTCTCCCTCAGAATTTTTGTCTTCATATGTATACCACATTCGAGACAACTTAAGAATTTATCATAAATGGATCTACCCTTTTCTTGCTGCAACACTCTCAATTCTGAATAGAGTTTGAACGCTATGGATATCGAAAAATTCCAGCCAAGGGGAATAAATTTCTCTTAAGTTCTCTAAAGTTCTCTTAACGAACTTGTAAAAGAAACGAACTTTCGAGCAAAAATGGATGATAATTCTGCCCTTTCTTCTCGTGAAAATTCAAAAGTTATATCGAGGGGTTAATTCCTGCTGGCTAACGCGATACGTGCCAGAGAGACGAAGGTACGTGCATGAAGAATTCCATGAAGAGTAACCGTCGAATCAAGAGCTACTTCCAGCTCGTCAGTGCGTATTAGAGGTTGTGGTTGGTCGGAAACGCATTTTCCAATGTGAAAACACCACTATTCTAGATGGAAACTCTTCCTGGAAGCCGGTGAACCGATCGAAAGCACGTTGCATCGGACCAAATGAAGTGGCAAATAACCGTTATGTCGAAGTTTCCTGGTCAATGCGTTTGTATTTCCTTTTCCTCTTTCCTATTTTACCCTCTCTTATCGTCTCTTTCTCTTCCTCTGCTCTTCTCGTTTTGACCTTTCGGGCCATTTCTAAAACAAAAACGTTCCCTTATTTTTTATGAACGATCCTCTTCCACTCCATACTGTTCATCGATCTTTCATCTGTCTCTAACCGAGGTTTATGGAAAGAAAAATCAAAGTTTTGAAGAAGAGAGGCAATGATAGATAAAAGAAGAGAGACATTGAATGTTTAATACTGTTGAAACAAGTTTCACGAGAGTGGAATGAAAGTTTCGAAATTTCAAAATTCTGACAATATGAATTTTTATCTAAAATTTTTTATTTTCGCGCAAAATATTTAAAAGCATGTTAATATCTTTATCAAATACACTTTTCGATATGTTAGAAATTTGCAAGGAACAAAATTATTATCCGTTTTCAGGGAACTTTAATATAAAAGTTTCGTTCGCTCGAAATACGACCGTGGACCGTGATTTCTCGAAAGAAGTTTGGATTATAATTTTTCTTCGTTTCCCCCGGTGTTAAGAGAAACGAAATGGAGTGAAACTAATTTTCGTTCGGTCGAAGGAAACGGCCGTTTATATTTAGTTAAACGCTATCCGCGAGCGTATCTGGAACAAGGTATTAATAATGCAAAACGAGGAAAAAGACGCCGTACGTTTACCCGTTTACTGGCATAGTTCTATCGATTACTGGATGAATCGATAGAAGGGAAATTGTGTTTACCTCGCGCGTAATGTGAACGTTTTGTTCTTTGTACTTACACATACGATTATTGGTTATCGTATCGAGAAAAGCTTCATTGAGTATATATTTTGTTATCTAGGAAATCTCGAAGTGTTCTATTTTGAACTCGTTTAATTTAAATTTAAAGAGAAATGTCTTCTTTGCTGTTGAATTATTCGAAATAGGGAATTGATCGTTATATTTCCTTTACTTATTCGTGACAGTTTGGATTAAGTTTTGAAACGGGTGTTCTAAATTTTAAAAATCTCGCCGTGAGATGGAATGTCACTTGTCAAAATAATTGATCCAAATTAAATCATTAAGTTATTAATTATATGCGGATTAAATTGAATCATGAGATATCTATTCTGAATTCACCGTTCGAATAAATTCTTCTTCGAAAAACGGTGGATTTTTATTGGAATAAAAATATTTTTCAACTTTTTTTTCTCGAGATTAAAATGGAAGAATTAATTATCTCCTAATTTTTGCAATAATACCCATAGTTTGATAAATAAATTTTGTTTGTTATTTCATTATGTAGACGAATATTTGTAAGATTAAATGACGAATACATTATCTTGATATTGTAAATAACCGTGTCATATTTTTCGTTATGATACCAACTTCCAAAGACCACATTGACGTTAGTTAACCAAGCGCTTCGAGCATGTGAAAAGTGGTTTTCTAGGTACGCGTCTGGCTTGTACTTTCCCGTATGTTTGTTCCAGCATAGAATCCTTCGTAAAAAAAAAAAGCGAGCTTAAGCGTAGCGGAGAAGTTACTTTTTAGCTGAAACTTTTGAAGAACAGTTTTTTGTGAAGTTTTTATATAACCGTTCCGTTTCTTTATAACAAAAATATCTTCTGTGAAACTAGAATAGTTGTTTTTATTCAACTTGACAAGTACACACAAGAGCAATATTTCTCAATTTCGCTTAGCTGAATCCATTTATATATAAAAAAAAAAATGAGATCGTATCTCAAGATCTTATATTCAAGAATTACGATAAAAATAATGTTATTATTCAAAAATTGTGATCAAGATCTGCTAATTTTTTCTATCATTAATCTTGTTTTAAATTAAAATATAACAATTTGCAATGAAATTCTAAAAATCACATGTATGAATATAACATCTTAAATATTAAATATAATTGTTATTGACAATATCTTTTGTCCTTTCTGTTGCAGCGCCGCCGCAGAAAGTGGAGATCAGCAACCATCCGAACAAGAAGAAGATCGAGGTGAAGGTTGGAGAATCTCGTCGTTTGGAATGTGTGGTACGATCTGCGAAACCTGCAGCCACGATTACCTGGTATCGTGGAAACATTCAGATCAAAGGGGGTGAAACGTCGACTACACCGATTTCCATCGAGGGTGGTGAGTGAATTCATAGTTTATTCTTATTCTTTCAATTGTTGAAATTTGGAATTTTTAAGGAATATTTCGTTAAACGATTCGATGAGAAATGTATACGTTAATCAACAGATTTTGATATATTAAAATAACACGAAATAAATAGATTGTGTCACGAAATTCGACAAAATAGATCGGGCGGAAATAATTGACAGAATCCTGACAGTCGGGACAGTAAACGAGACGAATGAGTTTTCTTGTCGAAATTAAATTCAATCCTTGTACAATCTTCTCGAGCTATGATTAATCTTTGTTTACTTGAATCCAGTGAATTACCAGTTAAATTCCATTTTCAAATTTCCTCTTGTTAGTCAAATTTAGGAATTTAAGAAGATTTCTCCTTTAAAAAAGAATATACCATTCTTTCATTTTATCATCGTTTGGATGAATATTTAGTATCAAGTGTTTCTCTACGGATAAAATTAAAACAGTATGTAATTAATTAACATAGATGAACTTCAACTATTTCATCGTATCGCATGTTACAAAATTCATGAATGAAATTTTAAATATTATTATAAGTAATTAAGAAGATATAAACAGTTTCTTCCATATCTGAGAAAATGTTATAGAAACATTTATAATAGAATTCTAAAAATATCTTTAGAATATTAAATTAATATTAAAATAACATTTATAACAACCATTTAAAAAGGGATTTGTTTCAAAGGAATTTTTCTAAATCTTATTCTTAGATGAACACAATCTTACTGTTAACCTTCCAAAAAATGAATTTGGCATTATCTCCTTTTCCTCAGAAGTAACATCAATTTTCATTAACTCGGATCAATTCCTCCCACCTAATACACACATTCCAAGACCTATCCCAAACCCTTCATCCCTTTCACGCAACCGAGGTACAAATTCCTCCAGTATTAATCCCCCACCGAGTCAATCGATCGTTGCACAAAAGCGCCGCTTAAAGTGGATTCCCCTGTGTCGATTTGCCCGGATCCATCCCTCTTTAATCCATTTTTACCGACAATTAAGGCCGGCGAACGTAGACGTTGCCCTAGCTTCGACAAGAACCTACGAACGAGAATTCCTATTCGACTCGGTGGATAAAAAAGAAAACAAAAGGGGAGGGAACAAAAGGAATAGAAGGAAACGGGATTCTTCTTAGCTCTCCCCTGGATGGGAGAGGAAGGGACAGGAAGGAGCGATTCTCAAACGGCGAAATCGCCTTCTGCCGGGCGTTATATCGATCCTCTCCCTGAACAAGGGAGGCGTATAGCCCCGAATAAAAAGGAGAAACAACGTCGAACAGACGTCGAGGGGGAAGGGGGAAAGGTTACAAAAGATGAGTGGCGCGGGAGAGTGGAGAAACGATAGGCGTCGTGACACGAGGGAAAGGAGGGCATAATGGTTCGACGAGCAAAGATCTTCTCCGCCTGTTATTTCCCCGCTTTCTTCCACGCTATTTTACGTAATAATTAAATGAATATGAAACAGAGACGCGGTGGTTAATAACGTCGGGCTCGTTATCTTTATTCAAATTTCGCGACCGTGCCGTTGTCGTGATTTAATCAATCCTAAAGTTTATAAACCGGTCGGATAGATACAAGGAGGGATGCCGGGGGAACGAGAATGAGAATCGAATGGAATGAGTATCGGTATTGGGAGAAGTAGTTTGGGTTGAAGTTCGATTATTATTGATCGAGAATAGGGAGTGATCGGCGAACCGTTTGATGAATCCTCTTGTTGTGTTCTACTATGGATTTACGAATTGGATAGAAACGTTGTGTACGTTGAATACGTTGGGATGTACTTTAAGTGAAATCAGTTAAGAATGATTTTTCCAAATATTTATTGCGAAAATGATAGTTTAAAGTGAGAGAAAAAATTAATACCTAAACAAACTTAATGATTTAAATTCTTACTTCTTCGTCAACTCGAGATTATCAAATCTTTTTTAAATTAAAAGAGGAAATCTTATCTATTTATTTCACAATATTATCACGCAAATTCCACTTATTTCCCCAAAAATGAAAAGACAAGGAAAAGAATGACCGAAAAACGTATACGCGAGAGCTAAAGAATTTTGCGTCACAGAATCCACGTCCAAAAACGACGTAATACAACGAGTCTGGAAAAAAAATAGAAATTTTACGAAATTTTCATCGCAAGCAATCTCGCGGCTAAGAGGAAGTGACCGTGTTTCGCGTATTTTTACGTTTGCAACAAATACAGGTGGAACGAGGATCCGGAACAAAAGGTTGTACGAAATTCAGGTCGCGAACCAGCTTTGAAAAGCGGCGCTTAAAACTTCCCTTCGACTTTTCTCGGACATTTTTTGTCAAAGTGGCCACTCGCTTTGCCGGATTCGTCAAAGAACATGTCCTGAAGACCGTGTCATCGTTCTATGCTATCCTGTACTTGTTACTATCTTTTCTAAGGAATCAAAACCGTTTTTGAATGAAGAACCTTAGATCCTCTTCGAATCCAAATTGTATCATTATACGTGTAAAATTTTTCCCACTTTCTTCTACACGATCCCTTTGTTTTTTCTTTTCCTTCCAAAATCGAGAGATAACTTCGAGACGTATCTCGCGACTGATTTTTTTTTTTATGAATTTGAAGCTTGAAATTTGTGCTTCCATCAAGGGAAAATTGATATCCTCTTGTTCAGATTAGTCAAGTTCTTGAGTTTAAGTTTGCGCTCGTACGAGTCTAATTACTTGTCTTGTAGTCTGTTTGAGTTCGGGTGACCTGACTTTGAGTGATTAATGGAAAATGGATATATATGTAAGGAGGAGCTGGTGGCTGCTAAAGTGTATGCAATAACGAGAGTAACAAATTGTTGGAAGTTTTAAAAAATATTGATTGGATAGGGGAGTCGGTTCGTTGTTAAGTAGAATTACGTAGATTTATTACTTAGGAAAATTAGTTTAGCAGCAACAAAGATATTTATCTTTAATTGTGTAACTAATAACACAACGAATAATGAATTTTTTGAAGCAATATAGTTTGAAAATTCAACGTAACAGGAAATTACTTCGCGTTCTTCAATTTATTATTTTTCTACTTTTAAAGACGTACAAGTTAAAATGTCGAATGCCCCGAGCAAAATTTTTGTTTAAATGTTCTTTAAATGTTCCCAATTTGTGCCAAGATCGTTCGAAATCGGTTAACAATCGGTGAATTGGGCAGAAAGGGTGGATGAGGGTGGATCGATGTGAGAATCAAGTACCTGATCCTCTTGATTCTTAACATAAACCCGATCTCTCACGAGGGCGCGACAAGTTAAGAAAGATCCACCCCATAATCGTATCCCCAAAGCCCCAAAGACAAATTCCGACGTGTAATCGTTCAAATTACGACATTGTTCCGCAGGCCACATTTATCCGGTGGATCGTCTGGAACGTTGGCGTAAAAAGTGCCGGAACTTTCTCTTCGCTTCTTCCTTGGCGCAGTTCAAATCATTTTTCCGGGGAGGTTGTTTTAATATTTAAACGAGGTCACGCTATATTCTTCTACCTAGTGTTTTTTGAAAGCACACCAGAGGATAACTTAATAGAGTGTCTTAGTTGCTCCATTATATCCTTTCCAACAATGCACTTCCATTCGTCTCTCTCTCTCTCTC